CGCGGCTCCAAGACAGACCCGCGGCTGGCCAAGGCTGAGCCCATCAGCAAAGGTGGTAGTGCCTCTGGGATAACAGAGTTAGGAAGGGGAAAAAGTTACTGTGCAAGAGCAACTGCAGTTGGAGAAGAGACAAATGAGAATATGTGAGAGGAAGAACCCTGCAGCCCCCCAGGAGGTGCAGCAGGAGGAGGAGGTGCTGCAGGCCCGGAGCAGAGATTCCCCGCCAGCCCCTGGGTCAGCCCATGGCGAGGCCGGCTGTCCCCCGGCAGCCCACGGAGGCCCACGCTGGAGCAGATCCCCACCTGCAGCCCAGGAAGGACCCCACGCTGGAGCAGGGAGATCTGAAGGAGGCTGGGACCCCGTGGGAAGACTACGCTGGAGCAGGCTCCTGGCAGGACCTGTGGAGAGAGAGGAGCCCAGGCTGGAGCAGGTTTCCTGGCTGGGCTTGTGACTCCACAGGGGACCCAGGCTGGATCAGTCTGTGCCTGAAGGGCTGCACCCCAGGGAAGGGACCCATGCTGGAGCAGGTGTAGGCCTGCTGTAGGCCATGGGAAGGACTCAGGTTGGAGAAGTTTGTGGAGGACTGTCTCCCATGGGAGGGCCACAAGAATTGTCTGCCATGGGAGGGACCCCACGCCGGAGCAGGGGCAGAGTGTGAGGAGTCCTCCCCATGAGGAGGAAGGAGCGGCAGAGACAATGGGTGATGTGCTGAACGCAACCCCCATTCCCCATCCCCCTGCGCTGCCGGCAGGGAGGAGGTAGAGAAAATTGGGAATAAAGTTAAATCCGGGAAGAAGAGAAGGGTGGGGGAAAAGGTGTTTTTAAGATTTGGTTTTATTTCTCATTATCCCACTCTGATTTGATTGGTAATAAACTAAACTAATTTCCCCAAGTCAGGTCTATTTCGTCCATGATGGAAACTGCTAAGTGATCTCTCCCTGTCCTTATCGACACATGAGCCTTTTGTTATATTTTCTCTCCTCTGTCCAGCTGAGGAGGAGAACGATAGAGAGGCTTTGGTGGGCACCTGGCATCCAGCCAGAGTCAACCCACCACAAAGGGTCAGAGAGCAGGTCATTCACCATCACACAACACATTAGTCATCAGGTCCACCACTACAGCTTAGGCTTTTCTGGTTGTTCTTGCTGTTACTCTGCTTCCGTGCTACAGATCAGAAGAGCAGCCTTGGTGGCATCATACAGGCGTCAAAGAGAATCGTCCTTCTTCCCAGAGGAATTTGTCTCTCCAGTATTAGCTCAAATAATACCAATGTCCACAAAAAAACCCAGATGCTATTGTGAGAACTGACACAGTCATTCCTTTCAGTCTGAAACATCCTGAAAGGACAGGGCTGACTAGAAAGATTGGTCAGCAAAGCTTGAAAACAGTGGAAATCTATTGAAAAGGAAGATGGGGAAAGTTTTGCCAAGGCACCTATTATTCATGGATCCCGACAACATTGTGTCAAAGCTTCCAACTCTGCTTACCCCTAACTTACAGTAAGCTGGGAGGGCCACAACCAGAAACAAAGCCCATTACGGGAATCGTGTCTGATCAAGTTGCAGGGTTGGCTGAGCACATTTGCTTCATTGCATTTCTAGATCATTAACTTGCTTGTAGCTCTCACTTTCAGACTCACTGCACATAGCAATTTCGGCTTCCATACTATCTCTTATCATTTACTGGCTCATTAGAGACACTCACAGAGTGAGACACCGGAGTGGAAAGCATGTGTTCATAACAGGCTGTGACACCAGACTTGGAAGCTCACTGGCTTAAATGGCTTGACAAAAGGGGATTTTGTGTCATTGCTACACGTGCCACAGAAAAAGGAGGCCAAGAGCTATGGTCATGCTTCTCACTCTCACTGAAGACAGTGAACCTGAACTTAGCTGACTCCAACAGCTTTGCCAGGGCTGTGGTGGTTGTGACCAAAGACACAGCTGGCAAGGGTAAGTGGCAAGCTAATTTCCCGGAAAAATGATTCAAATTAATCAAATCTGGTCTAGCTAAAAGTCCTGGTGCCTCTCCACTCTCCGAAGAGGCATTTTTCATCTTGCTGATGAAATGTACTCACTCTTCATTTCTGTTATTTCTCAGTTCAAAGAGATTCTCTCCAGCAATGCTTTTGGGCTTCCCTTTGCTTTCACCAACAAAGTGCCTAAAAATCTAGTTGCTCAGTCTATTAAAACCAGATCATTCCCAGGTGTGTTTTTCAGACTCTTTTTGGTGCAGTTGAAGAATCTTAGTAGGAGAAAGGTGCTACCTGGTACCAGAAAGAACTTCTTGACAATAAAACCAGCCCAATTAAAAATGGTTGGTGCAGGGCATCTTCAGCCCTCCTCTAGGAAACAGAAGAGTGTTTTCGCATGGCTGAATAAGTCCAACTTTTGCAATGCACACAACAAAAACTGCTCTGACTAACAGCTAAACACTTGCTGTTTCAGCCAGTTTTCTTAGAGTTGTTACATCGGTAGCTCTCACTACTGCTATCACACACCTCTGAGCACTTGTCTAAAAGAGGAAGAGTTTGTCCTTGGATACTTATGGGTGGAGTTAAAAAACAAGACTTAAGTGTTGGTTTTGGCAAAGGACAATAAAAAGATCTGTGTGGTAAACATATTCAACCATGGCAATACATGTTTCTTCCTCAGCACCGATAGCTCAAACCAGACATTGTTAAGGGCCGCCAAAGGGGATCACAGCTCTAACACAGTTATACCAAATATTCAATAGGCTTGTTAATCAATTGACTAACTAAAACAGTAAAACACGTATCTTCTACCAGTAGGATGTTCTCCTCAAAGCTTGTAAAACACTGTTGGTCTCATCATGAGGGTTCCAGACATTCTTGAATGCAGTGATTGAGGGCAAGGACAACATAATTATTAGCGCTTACCTCGTCCAGCAGGCCCCTGCCTCCGGCTTGTGGAAAGCTGCACGTTCTTGGTTGGGGTAACCACTGCTAACGCTGTCACCTCAGTCTCAGAAACTCTTTATGGAGGCTGAGTCCTGGACTTTCGTCCTCTCCCTTCAGGTGCAGGCTGTCCTCAGCAAACTCTTGGAAGCGTCACTATTTATCTAAAGGTCCTCAAGTAATTTATAAGGTAGTAAAGCAGTATTATCAATACACAGGGTTAAGCTAATATTTTTAGAAGCATTGACTAATTCCACATGTCTGGTTCAGACCTTTAGACCCCAACCCATAAAAATCAGTCTCTCCACTTTTATGTAGACTATTTGATTTTCACAAGAATGTCAGTGCCTATTAGGAGCCCACATACTTGAGCAGAGCTGGATAATAAAGCCCAGCATGGTGGCCTATATCTCCAATTGAAATAGCTTTCCTTTAATACTTTACCCATGTTCTTTTAGAGTCATTGCCGAAGGCCTTCAGCAAATTTTGCCAGACGTACAGAGTAGACCATACAAGCAAATCTCAGACAACTGTATTCAACTCACTGCAGTTTTCACAGACTATGTGCTTGATTCCCAATGCTAAATGGTTTTGTAATCCTCTTAGGGCTTTTTGGGTTGGTGAGCAATCCTGAAGGAACAGCACCTGTAGCACCCACTGACTGGGTAAGGATCGAAGACTTCCACACAGTGCTGGATGTTAGTCTGCTGGCATTGATTGAAATCATGCTCAAGCTTCTGCCACTTCTGAAAAAAGCTGAGGGAAGAACAATCAATCTAATTAATGCCAAAGGCCTCATGGCTTTTGTAAGGAGTGGCTACAGGCTGTCCAAATGGGGCATGGAACCTTTCTCTGACATCTTACGGTGAGTAGCTAGAAATACATGCGTGAATCCAAGAATAGATTCCAGATGTGCTGAGGAAGAGCGACTGTATGTTTCTCCCTCTCATTTTCTCTCTGGAAATCTTGCCTAAAGGTGGAAAGGAAAATAAGAGGCTTTTGGTTACTTGTTTGGGATTTCAATCTCCAGTACTATGAACAGACCCACCAGGAAACTGCACTGGGAAGAAATTTCATATCCTGGACAAATGGCTAGCATGCAGCTTTCCAGCATGTGAATCCACTGCGTTACATGAAAGTAAATCAACAGTAGAGCCTGGTCAGGCATGCAGTTTCCTGGACAAGTTGTACTTAGTTGTACTAGCCCATTTACAACCCATGTTATTTCACTCTAAGGCTCTACAACAATCGGAGCTGGGTGATTCCAGGCAGCACTCACATTACAAAAGGTACTCGTAACTTCAGAAGATTAAGCTGAGCACCCTTTGCTGAAGCCCGTTGTGTTGTACCGCCTTGAGAAGGCTAAGGTCTAGCCCAGCGAGTCAAGTCTTCACAAGGACTAGGAAAGTTGATTGCAAGCCATTATGAATGCTTATATAAAGTAAGTATATGCCCCAAGAAAATATAATCTAAACTAATGGCTAATGTACACGTGGTTCATTGCTTTGTACACTTTGGAACGTAGCTGCCTGGGTCTCTTGAGCTGCCCAGCAAGACAAAGAGGCCATTTTCATACCAATGGAGTTGCATTGCAACTCAAAATTATATAGAGGGAACCATGCTACCAGAAAACACCCTAACCTTTATTGCACTAACGTTTCATCACTTAACCATAGCCATTTAACCATACGATGGAGAATAAAGTTCTAATCCAATTGCAAATTTTTGGTCACTTTTATTTTTTCCCAGGCACTTTAATAATCTGTTCCTACTGGAAGCTGAAATGATGCAACAGTATGTGAAATAGTCAAAAGTTTTAGTTTGATAATACATGGCTAAGATGCAGCTGGCTGCTGTATACTTTGCATCAGTCCAAGAAAGCTGTGAATCTACCTAATCTACCCCAAGTTATTTGCTTGCTGCACTTTTGCAGGACAAGTACTCTGCTATGAAGTTAATTTGAACATCTCAAAATTATTCTGACATTTGAAGATAAGAATCAAAGTCTCAAATATTCATTTATGTGACAGACTTTCAACTTATTTATGTTTAATGCTTATGGCATTATTGGGTGGTCAGGGATGGTTATTGTGTTGGTTTTTTTCTTTTAGGATAGAGATGTAGCATTTTGGAGTGAAAGTAAGCATTGTTGAGCCTAGTTTCTTTAAGGCTGGAGTAATTAATTCAGATGTCGTCAAGAACTACCTCTTAAGACTCCGGAACAGACTGACTCCTGAAATCAGGGACTCCTATGGAGAAAAATACTTCATTGACTGTAAGTAGAAAAAGGACCGTATGAAAACTCAGGGAAAATATTATCAACATATACAAATACCTGAAGCGAGGTTGTAAAGACAACTGAACCAGGCTCTTTTCAGTGGCACCCAGGGACATGACCCAAGGCAATGAGCACACACTGAAACACAGCATGTTCATCCTGAACATCAGGAAACGCATTTTTACTGTGAGAGTGACTGAGCGCTGGCACGGTTGGCCCAGGGAGGCTGTGGAATCTCCATCCTTGGAGATACTCAAAAGCTGTCTGGACATGGTCCTGGGCAACCTGGTCTAGGTGATGCAGCTTGAGCAGGGGGGGTTGGACCAGAGGTCCCTTCCAACCTCAGCCAATGTGTGATTCTGTGAATGTTTGCTGAACTTCATTAATATTTGTTAAGAACCCATTGCTGATTGTTCTGGACTATGTCTATGTTAGATGTGGCTTCTGCTATTAGTTCCCATATGAGATTGGTGAGATGTGATGACTAAGGCCATCCTTAGTCCCTCCATACTTAGAGATTGAATACCCAAGGGGAATGAATTGCTATGACCGTATGCCAAGTTTATGACTTACTGATATCTGAAAAGTTGTGCCATGTCACGCTGCACTTACTGTAGGGAACATGTGGATATCAACATGGGCCAGGGAGCTTTCTGTCTCCTGGGCTCTCGGGTGTTCTGCAGCCTTTCTGGTCTCTGCTTTGCTGTAGCTATACTGCTGTCAGTATTTGAGCCAGTAGTTTAAAGCAAGCCTGAAGCTGTAGCCAAACCTTTGAATATAAAGAATTCTCTCACAGAGAATGTTGCATAAAAATACTTTCAGGTTTTTCTTCTTTGCAGATATAAAAGCTGAAATATCACCAGTGAAAGGACTGTGTGACACTGATATTTCCAAGGTCATAAAACGCACAGAACATGTCCTGACACCAAAGTACCCCAGGACACAATACGGAGCTGGATGGGTTCTTTTGGCTGTTACTCTCCTATGCCCCAAGCCGTTTATCTGACATGCTGCTGTGTTATGACGTTGCCAGCTCCAGCATCTAGTGGGAGATCAGTTCCTGGAGTTCTAATTAACACTTGGTATTAAACCAGTATCAGCTATGTGGAAATAAAAACTAATCCTGTCAAAACCAGAAGATGTCATTTTCTTTACCAGTTACTAGACTGCTTAAATTCCTTTCAGAAGACACTTTCTCCATCCCCCAACCCCTCCTTACCTGGAATTTCTGAGTTTGCAGATAGGCTTGTAAATCCAGCATGTTTTTGAAGGACATTTTTATCCTCAGAACTGACACCTCTACAGGATGCGCATTCATAAAATATTCATAGAATCATAGAATAATTTTGGTTGGAAGAGACCTCAAAGATCATCAAGTCCAACTGCATACCTGATGCCACCATGCCCGCTAAACCCACTAAACCATGTCTTGAAGCGCCACATCTAAACATTTTTTGAACACCTCCAGGGATGGTGACTCCACCACCTCCCTGGGGAGCCCATTCCAATGCTTAATTCCAGTGCTTTTCAGCTATAAAGCTCATTAATACTACTCACCCAATAAAAAAAAAAATTAAATAAGGAAAATAAAATCACTGAAAGAATCAGTTTTTCAAGTAGACTTCATCAACATATAGGTTGCTAGTGAACTTGAAATAAAACAATGGCCTTTCAGAACATATAACTTATACATGTACCTTACAGATGTATTTAGCCAGATTTAGTGATCTATTTCATGGGCAGTCTGCTCATGGTCATATTCAGGAGTTGCTAAACTTCACAAGCTTCTGAACACAAGACATGAAATCAGATAGTGACAAAGCCCAGCTATTGCAACATATTCCAAAAATTACAATTGCAGTATTTGACCACATCCAATCACCTGACTATTTAACTGTGTAGAGATAAAACACAAGTTATTTTACAGATATGTAACTACAGGAAAAATCAAAACTACATTGTACTCTGTTACTATGTAAACAGAGTATCCAAACTTATATTTTAACTTTCTTCCTAATATTAGTATAGTTTGAGGAAAACATTAAAAATAATATGCAATCACATTTCTTTTGTTCTCAGTGTGCTTTGCAAGATAAAAGGATGGTTATTTCACTCATTAGATGAAACAGGTCATTAGTGTATGCTATGGCAAATTAGTTTGACTGTACAAAGAATCTGTTCAGAATGGCAAAATGTTAGTTGAGGTTACTGTGCCTCTTGTACACTATTTCTATCTGTTAAGCTGTTGGCCAGTGGCCCACAAACTGGTGTTCCTAGAGATATTAAAACTGAAGGGGTAAAGGTTTTATTTGCTAAAGAGCTGCGCTGGTGATTAATCATTAATGTGCAATTCAATTAAGCTTACAAAAATACCATGTGCAGGTCAGAACTCCAAATGTAAGAACAGTAGTTTCATCACTCTGTGTGTGAGGGAGGCGTGTGTGTGTGTGTTTGTACATGCGCAAGAAAGGGACAGAATGTAAAAGGTGTTTAGCAACCCTTAAGTATTTCATTGAGGTTCTATCCTCTGGCAAATGGCTTCAAGAATAAATTTCTTTTACTTCATTTCATGATAAATACCTGAAGAGCGAGAGTTCTCTCTATGTGGCCTGACAGGTGTAAAGAGAATGTACATGAATAAACTTAATGGTGTAATTTATCAGCCCTATAGTGGCAGATTACAGAGAGGTGCTGAAATCTCTAAAAATCAGCCTTCCTTGAAACAGAATGAGTCCAGAATTCAAGAATCCAAGTAGGGACTATCCTCAAAAGGGAAAAATAATACAAGTAAAAAACGAAGTTAGGAATAGAATCGAAAGCTTCTGTTGAACAAAGTATCAAAAAGTAAATTTTACATAATCAGAAGGGTACATTGTGGTATGCCACTGAGAGGAAGAGGCCTCGTCGAAGCTTAGGAATCCTTCACCATCAGGTATGTTGAACAATCAAATCTACGTACTACCTACAGTATCCCAGGGATAGTTTTATTCCACATCTGAAAAGTTAAAGTTATTACAAGGGGAGGGGGCAGTATCTCTGACACATGGCTGACATATTAGCAGTTTTCTCCAAAACTGGTTCCAAATCTTTCTGTTGACAAAGACTATTCACAAAACTGATGCTACTTTTTCTTCGGGTATGCACTTGGAGGCGAGTCTTCTGGAAATGTTAGCCCTGCCTTCTCTCTTTAAAAACCATTGTGAACTCTTTCCTTAAGAACAGCAACCTGCCTTTCAAAGAAATCCTTTCTCATAACCTTACAGATGTGTATGATGTGTCCCAGATTCTAAGGAATTTTCTACATTAAAACACTCAGATATGAAAGCTAATTGAACTAAGGTTTTAATGGCTTACTTCCATACTACCTTGATAGTCAGTCTATTACAATCAATAATAAGAGTTTCCTGTTTCAAGGGCTAGTTTATTTAATGTGTGTAATGGGGCAGTTTTCACACTTCCAGTGATATGTCAGTAATGTTATATCAAGAACTTTAGACAGTTGTGTGAAGCAGTAAGCACTATTCTTATTCCACTTCATCTAAAGCACTGTTGTTTTCACCTCAGAGTGCACTAAAGTCTCCACAACTGAAAAAAGTTGAACCTTGACACAAATTATGGAATAAGGATGTGATAAAATAATACATTTATTAGATTTATTCAGCAGCATCATTTTCCAGTTGTCTTTTCTAATCAATATACATTGCAAAGTAATTATAGGCATTCTAATTAGAAATAGTATATATTTCGAGAACTCAGATATAAAACAATCAAATAGCAGAAGTCTCAATGATTATACGAGTAGCTAGCCAGGAATGCTGAATAACATGTTCCTGCAGTGGTACTCAGAGTTTCCTCAAATGGTTCATATTCTGGAAACTACATTGGCTAGTTAATAGAAAAGCTAATAAGATGTACAGTATATTCTGATGGAAGGTTATAGAATTAACCAGATAATTGCAAACACTGCATTAGTAGAAATTGTTTCCCTTTCTATTGATGTCCACCTCAGGAAATAAATAGTCAATAAAATTAAATTTTCACATTAAAAAACCTGAATAATTTCTTAAATGAAGCAATATCTTTCATATTTTGCTGTTTGGAAATAAGCTGTTATAGAAATCTAGCTACTTCATTTAATAGTACAAATTACTTCCAGAGACTCCAGCCAAGAACAGAGCTATTCCATTGATAAGCAAGAGAAAATCTCATTAAATTAAGTAGTCATGGCACTAAAATCTAAATATATCAGATCTTTTTAAGAACACTATTAATGGAATGGTGTTAATTGTAACCTAGAGGGAAAGAATGTGTCTTACAGATTGAGAGGAAATTATTTTATCTCAGGCAGTTAAAATATTGTAAGAACAACACTTTGCACAGGTAACTATTCAGCATAATGATGCTGCATTGACTCTTCCATCTTTTGTTTAACACAAGACAGAGAGACATCCATTTTTACATACAGTAGTATATAAAATAAGTGGTAAAGATGCCCAGAGCACCAGTAGAAGTTTTAAAAGGTGCTGTTATAAATATATACTCTAAAGATCCTGTAATTCAGTAATGTTCCTATATTTGCCTTGTTTGGTTCTTTTTCAGTTTAAGCATTTATATAATGAATTTATCCCTAAAGATACGACCAGTTCCATACAGATTTCTACTAGCAACATCACCGAACAAGATAATCTTTCAAAAATTTACAAATGTACAATATATTTATAACATTACTTTCAGACAGCTTCAGTGCAAAGATATACATATAGTACATCATGATAATTGTTCATAAAAATAGAAATTGGCATTTGTCAAAAAACAAGGCATAGTTTCAACATACATCATACAACAACCAGCCATTGGTTAAGAGATGTATATATTTTTATAAAGCATTTGAATGTGAACCTCACTCTTCTGTTTATAAAAAAATATATGTGCAAATGGATGTGTCTAATTTTCCCTAAATCAGTTACCTAGTTATACCACAGAGTCCTCCTTAACAAGATTGGCGGTATCTTTAAATGTATCCTCTGTTGCTGTATAAGCTAATGGTTGGTCTCTCTTCAGAGTAATCTTTGGAGGCAGTGAAGGAGAAGGGGTAGGGACACTTTCTGTGTCCTGTTGCTGTTCCTTTTCCATCTGAAACAATAATCATAAAATCCAAGTTTACATTCTAACGTTCAAAATGTCCAACCTTAACTTTCAGAGATGTTAAATAAATATCGAAGTATTTTGCTAAGGTCAAGTGTCCTGGTATAAGTTATTTCTGCAAATCACAGCCTGTAACAAAATTAAATGCTAACTTCATCTCAGATGGTACAGCTGAGTAAATCACTACACATTTACTCCACATACTGCACATACATGAATGTAGATAACATTGGTGCTTCTACTGTTTGTAAATAGTTACATTCGTTTGTGTTGGGGAAATGAACGCCTGGCTTCCTGAACACTCACCTTCACCTTGTTCAAGCATTAGAAACCTAAATCCTTCACAAAGGGGAACAAGTTTTAGTCATGTGACCATGGGATTAAGATTCTTGTCACTTAGGCCATCTAGAAATTTTAAACTATAAGATGAAAAGGGCTGGAATTACTGGCTCAAATCAGGAGAACTGCAAACCTTCATACCCAAGCCAGAGGAGATTTCCTCCAGCACACATATCACCTGCTGGCACATCACCTTAAAAGAACTGTCTCATCCAACTGTATGGATGAAAAAAATAGGGCTGGTATAGAAACAGGGTTACAGTACGTAGAGCTACTGAATTTTTGTGCAGTGCTGAAGCCAGGACTGAGAGGGCAGAAATAGACACTTCACTCCTAGTGCAGTACCATAGCCTCCCACTTGCACTGGGTCCCTGAGCTGTGCCAGAATGCCCCAGTAAGCTGAAACCAGCACCTAAGATCCCAGAGCAGGAGCAGGCCGCAGCACTTGGGCTGGGAAAGCAGAGATCTGGGCAATGCAGCTGTGTTGCCTGAGCTG